CTTTTTGTGCCGCATCGAACGATTGTGAAGACACAAGGTCGAAGTCAAACGAGGGATTCTTTTGCATTCCCCTCCCTCGCCAGTGCGGGTGGAGTGTTGGTTGCACTTGCCGAGGGTCGCATTGACTATACAGATCCAGATCATAAGGGTGTTTCAGCCTATTATGCCGACATTGTGGCGGGGTACATTGACACTGCGGAGAAGTGGTCGTCTTTTGTCGCTAAGGTTCATGTAAACAAATGGAGGGCGTACAGCATCTTTAACATGACCATGCAAGCGGAGCATGAGATCTGTGTGAGATACGCGCCCCTACCCACAACAATTGCAAAGGGCAACAAGGTCTTTCTACTTGTGGGGGGCTATTATCAGAAGTATGATCCTTCATTGAAAAAGTGGATTAAATCCTCCCAAGGTCTTGATTTGCTCGTGGGTGAGGCCACGCACGGTAAAGTCATCCAATGGGGCAAACCCACCTCGCTTGTACCGCAGATCGAACCATATGCTAAACAACGTGGCCTAAAGGAATTTATTGGTGGCAGTGGCTCAGGCGTTGTGATGGAGGATGGCACGTTTGTGTTTCCTCTAAGGGCGAACAGGGGAGAAAACGACTTTGTCTCCATGATCATTTATTCGAAGGACGACGGCAAAAATTGGGTGCTTCCACATGGGACGGTTTCTGAACGGTGCGTTGCCCCCCTCATCGTTGAGTGGGAGCAGGGGCAGCTTCTCATGGTTGCCAAATGCAGTTCTCTCTTAAAGGTGCTTGAGTCGAGGGACATGGGGGCAACGTGGACGGAGGCTGTCAGGACACTCACACGCGTGCATCCCAGGTTTTTACCAAACTCTTCGCGAACAGCTGAGGGAGTGGGGTCCCTCACCACTGCGACCATTGCTGGAAAGAAGGTCATGCTGTACACTCAGAAAGAAGTTCCCCCTGGGGAGAAGACGCGAGCCACCGCTCTCTACCTTTGGGTTGCTGACAACAACCGCACGTTTTACCTCGGGCCCATTTCCATGGACACTGCAGAGAACCCGATGTTTGGCAACACCCTGCTGCACTCTAACGATGCATTGCACCTTTTACAAGTGAAGGGCGCTTTGGGAGAAAGCAGCTTCTTTCTTTCCTCCCTAACGGAGCAGCTGAAGACGATCACGTCCGTCTTGGAGACTTGGGCAAATGTGGACTCCTTCCTCTCCAATTCGTCTGTGCCCACGGCCGGTTTGGTTGGATTCTTGTCGGATGCATCGGGTGATGGAACTTGGAACGACGCGTACCGTTGCTTGAATGCAACTGTGACGAAAGCAAAGAGGGTCGAAAATGGCTTTAAGTTCACGGGGTCTGAGTCATACGCCATGTGGCCGGTGAACATGCGGAAGTATCACAATGTGCACAGCTTTGTGAATTACGAGTTCACGCTTGTGGCAACGGTGACCATTCATGAGGTTCCTAAGGAGAGCGCTCCTCTGCTGGGCGCCGGCCTGGGCAGAAAGCAAAGCACGACGTTTGTAGGGCTCTCGTACACGACGGAGAAACGGTGGGGTACAGTCTTCAACGGCATGACAACAACACACAACAGCGCTTGGGAGCCGGGGAAGGAGTACCAGGTGGCGCTCATGCTGCAAGGCAACAAGGGCTCCGTGTACGTGGACGGCGTGTTCTTCGGGAGTTCCGACACACTACCAATGCTTAAAGCAC